CGCCAGCGGAACCAGCAGCTGCTGCTGCGCCCGCGCCGCCAGCCGCTGCCGTCTCATCAGCAGCTGCCGCCTCCGCAGTCTTCGTCTTCTTCTTCTTCGGACCTGCTGGCTCGGCATCCTGAGTAGCAGCAGCAGGGAGCGCAGCAGGAAGCTGCGGGGCGCTCACCGGGGCTCTGACGGGGTTCGCGGGCGCCACCTCCACGCCTGCTGTCGCGGCCGAGGCGGCGTCCTGACGAGGTGCCAATGGTACCTCCTCCTCCTTCTCCTCCTCCTTCTCCTCCTCCTCCTCCTCCCACTCTTCCTCCTCCTCCGCTTCTGCCTCCCTCCTCCTGCTCCCCCCTCCCCTTCCTCCTTTTCTTCTCCTCGTCGTCTCCTCCCCCTCCTCCTCCTCCTCCTCCCTCTTCCTCCTCCTCCTCCTCCTTCTCCTCCACCTCCTCCACTTCCTCGCATTTCTCATCCCTCACTCGTCCCCCCTACCGTCCTCGTACCGTCGTCGGTATCCCCCCTGCGCTTAGACCCCGCGGTCCTGGCTCGGGTTCTGGCACCACTCTTCGTGCTTCTTCCAGCACGTGGTGAAGCATTCTGTCAGGCCTCTCTCCACGTAGAGGCTCTTGATGTTCGCCGCTTTGTCGTCGTACATGATCCAGGGGGGGCCCATGCTCATCGTTTTCCACACGTACTTGCTCGCCTGTCGAAGGAGGGATGACAGTGGCGAATGGGGCTGCAGACGAGGTGAGTGGCAGGAGACGGACGGAGGAGGAAGAGGAGGAGGATGAAGGGGGAGGAGGAGGAGGAGGAGGAGGAGGAGGAGGAGGAGGAGGAGGAGGGTGCAGAGGGAGGAGGAGGAGGAGGAAGAGGAGGAGGAGGAGGAGGAAGTGGATGAGGAGGAGGAGGAGGAGGAGGAGGAGGAGGAGGACGAGAAGGATGGGGTCACCGCGACCCATCCAGCTTTTCCTCCTCCTTCTTTGTGCGCGATTCTTCCAATCGCCAAATAGGAAGATCTCTTCCAAAGAGATCGTGTCTCCTCGGTCGTCTTCGAGAAGATCGCTTGAAACTTCTGGTGTGCGTTCTGTGCCCATTCAGCTCGAAATGCCGCCTTGGCCGTACGGCCGTGTACAGCCTCGTATTTCTGTCGGAGGTCTTCGTCTTCGAGCGCTCTCTGCCACCTCCCTGCCACTGGGTTCCCCTTGCGCCCATCGAGCCCCACCTTGTAACAATTCTTTTGGAGCGTACTCCAAAAGTCGTGCTCGGCCTGGTTCTCTGGGGTTCGATGTTGCACGCTCATCTCCATGCCGAAGGCCTCGACATCATGGGGCCACTCGTGTGCGGATTCCTGACTCCACCCCCCTTTCTTCTCGAGCAAGGCTTTGAAGACGGGAGAACGAAACGCAGACGCCAGAGCAACCGCCATGTCGTACTCGCGGTCGCCGTCCATCGGCCCGGGCTTGGTCAAGCTATCCTGGAGGGGAATGGGGCTGACAAGGCACGCAGACAATGAGGGGGCGCTGACAATCCCCTGGATGTCATAACTGCCTTTGGGTACCTTGTTTGCAATTGTTGTTTTTGTTTGCGCGCGTTGTGCGCGTGCGTGCCCTTGCGCAGGCAATCTGCGCACACTGCTGCAAATCGAGGGAAGGGGCGGCTGGGAGTCTCACTCCCCAGTCCTCGTACTGCTGCTGCATCAGTCTCGCCTTCTGGTACAGCTTCTCGGGGGTCATCTCCTGGGGAGGCGGTCAGTCCCTCAGCCCCTCCTCCCTCTCCTCCTCCTCCTCCTCCTCCTCCTCCTCCTCCTCCTTTTCCTCCTCCTCCTCCTCCTCGTTGTTCTCCTCCCCTTCCTCCCCGTCCTCCTCCTCCTCCTCCTCCTCCTCCTCCTGCCCTCCTCCTCCTCCTTCTCCTCCTCCTCCTCCTCCTCCTCCTCCTCCTCCTCCCCACCTCCGCCTCCCTTCTCAACGCCGTTGTTACTATCCTGGTCGCCGTCGTCATCCTTTAGTTACCCCCCCCTGCTCGTTGTCACCCTTTCCCAATGTCCCATTGGCGTCGCCGCCGTCGCCGCAAGGCCCTGGCCCCGCCGCCCAACATTTGCGCACGTGCGCCTTGTCTAGCGTCGGCGCGTGAGTTGATTCACGTGCCCCCTCTCCCCTCGCTCACTCAACAGGCCCGCCCGCCCCCTTTTGGCCCCTGGCTGTCCTCGGCGTTCTTGAAGGCCCAGTCGGCATCAGCACCAGCGCCTGCCCACATGGAGCCCAACTTGTCGGTGGAACCCCTCCCCCTCTCGTTCGGCGGCGATGGCGAGGGCGTGCGGCATCTTTTGCCTTTGGTCTCCTTCAGGCTCATCTCCGTTGCCTTGCGCATCTCCTCATCCTCCAACTCCTTCTTGCGAGTGTCCGCCTCTGCCTCCTTGAGCGACTGCTGCATGACAGAGGCCAGCTGTTCTGATTCATCATTGGGCGCCTGCTCGCTTGCAGATGGCGAAGAGGCAAAAGTCGGCTGCCTGTCCTGCAGCGCTCTCTCTGCTTTCCTGCGCTTCTTGGTCTCGGGGCTCTCGGTGCTCTTCACGTTGGGGGGCTGCGCTGGCGAACTGCTCGCGACAGTGCACGGCGACTCTCCACCATCAGGAAGCTGCTCGGGGTCCTCGGCTGGGCGGCTCTGCGGGACGTGCTCGGCTGGACCTGCTGCGGGAGTGGCTGGAGATGCCGCTGAGCAAGCTGGCGCCGCCGTTGGCTCCTCGGGCTGCGAAGCCGGGCTCTCGGGCGCTGCCGCCGGGCTCGCAGGCGCCGCGGCTGGGCTCTCAGGCGCCGCGGCTGGGCTCTCAGGCGCCGCCGCGGAGCTGGCGCCCACGGCCTCGCTTGCGGCCTGGGGTGCCGCCTCGGAGAAGAAAGGAATAGTCATCGGCTCGTTGTGATCTGGCTGCGTCTGCGAGCACTCGGGCTGGCTGCTATCCTGGACCGTGATTGCCGACATGCCAGCTAGCTGCAGGTGTCTACCGATCGGTGATGACTTCCAATTTCTTGGACAGACTGGGAGGTCGGTTGCCAGTGGGGCAGTCGATCCTAAGCCAAAATGGCTGCGATGAGGACGGGGATGGTGGAGGGGGGAGGGCGGAGGAGGAGGAGGAGGAGGGGCGGAGGAGAGAGGAAGATGAGGCGAGGAGGAGGAGATAGGATGAGGAGGGGAGGGGGGAGGAGGAGAAGGAGGAGGCGGTGGGGGAGAGGGTGGAGCGCGTCTTGATTCTTTTCACTTTGCAATCGCCCGTAGATCTCAGGATCAGTTTAATCAAATCATTGCTCGGCCTTGGGATCCGCCGCGGTTGTCATTAGAAGCTCGAGTTCGAAAGAATCCAGGCGCGCTCTGAGGGATGAGTGGCTGAAGAAGCAGCAACGGGATATGCTGGCGGGCCCTCGATCAGCAGCAGCAGCAGCAGCAGTTGAAGCAAACGTCCGCGCTTACATGGAGAAGGCCGTAGCCAACCATGAGGGCAAGTACTTGTGCGATCCTGGCCCAGTGGAGGAGGAACCCAAGGATGAGGAGAAGCCCAAGGAGGAGGTCATGGAGGAGCCCAAAGAGAAGGCCAAGACAAAGAATCAATGAGCCGCCAGAGCCCGCTCTATAGAATCACGCGTTTTCAAGCTCGTCCACGGCGATGGCGGTAACCGCGACGGTCGACGACGACGACGACGACGACGGCGGTCGACGTCGATGACGGCGGTCAAGCACGACGACATCGGACGACGGCGAGCATGGGCGACGAAGTCGACGACGACGACGACGAGCAAACGTGATGGCACGGTTCGCTCAGATTCGATGTCCAGGGCGCCGTCGGACCGTCATCGGCCCTCTGCCCGTGCGGAGGTCGTGGCTGCGATCCGAGCGCGTCCAAAGGCGGAGGACCGACGCCCCTGCTCTGGGTTGCTGGGGATGCGGCCAAGAGGAAGACGTGCACGGCAGAGGGGGGAGGGATGCGAACAAGAGGGCCAAGAGCATGGATAGTGGGGTCCAGAGAGCAGGCGCTGATGAGGGTGAGCGAGGGAACATTGTCATCACGATCAAACGCTTTCGGATGAATCTGGCGCTGCCCCGCGACAGACCGAGCGGCTGTCTAGCGCCAGAACAATCTCGCACGATCGACTTGCCTCGTCTGGTCGATCACAGAAAAAGCCGCGGGCGCAGGCAGTAAGTCACTGGTTTCAGGAGCCAGGGGAGGGACAAGGGAGGAGGAAGATGAGGAAGAGCAGGAGCGGGAGAACATCGGAGAGGGAGGAGGAGGAGGAGGAGGAGGAGGAGGAGGAGGAGGAGGAGGAGGAGCATGCAGTCGTTTCTTGTTACAATGGCGGTAGCATGCAATGCACATACAGTGTAGTCTCGACACTCAACGTCCTAGCAACGTCGTCGGCTTGGCATGGCATAGCATCTTTCTAGCAACGTCGTCGGCTCGTCATCTTTCTTAGGAAGGGAGGGGAAATAGAACCAGCGCCACGGCCGCTGAGCCTGGCAGACACAGCGAACAAAGATCGGCACGGCCCGCCTCGAGCACGCCTCATGACTAAGTTGGCGCTTCGAAGCGCACGGGAATTACAGAAACTCACGGGAAAGACAGAAACTGTGATGCTCGTGCGCTCCTCTAGGAGCTTCTGGGTGAACTCTAGGGGGTTGCGCGTCCGCATGTTCGTCGCGTCTCTTGCTCGTCAACGCGGGTGCCCTTCTCGCCGTCGTCAGCGTCGTTGTCGACTTCTTTTCGGCGTCGTCATTGGCGGCGCCGTCGTCGTCATTGTCGTCGCCGCCGTCGTCGTCGGCGACATCGTCGTCAGCGTCGTTGGCATTGTCGTCGGCATCATCGCTATCGTCGTCGGCGTCGGCGTCACCTGCGCTCCCCTCACGGCCCACATCGGCGCCTGTCGTCCTGATCCAGACCCCTGCCAGGACGCGGCACCGGGGCCCAGCAACTATAAACGTACCTGCTGGTGGCTCCGCCGACCCTCTAATCACCTCACCTCAGGAGAATTTCAGAAGTCGTCGAACAAGCCCGCGGGGATGCACATGCCAGCTGGTGGCGAGGGAGCTTTCGGGGCTTCGGTGATCTTCGGCTTCGTTGTCTTCTCGGCCTTCGAAACAACCAGCTTGCTATCTGCGGTCGCCTGCTTCGGAGGCGTCGGCTCGGGCTCGGCAGCTGGCTGGGTCGGCGGGGTCGGGGCTGCGGCAGCTGGCTGGGTCGGCGGTGCCTCGGGTGCCTGGCCGTCGTGCTCGATCTTTCGTGCCTGCGGGATGCATGGAGGGGCGGCGTCTTCCTTCCTCCGCCTCCTGCTTCTCCTCCTCCTCCTCCTCCTCATCCTCCTGCTCCTTCTCCTCCTCCTCCTCCTCCTCCCCCTCCTCCCCGTCCTCCTCCTCTGGCTATGAATCTTCCTCATCCACCTCCTATTTCCCCCCTCTCACCTACCTTCCCCCTCCTCCACCTCCTCCTCTGGCGCCTGGTCCTTTTGTAATCCTCATCCCCTCCACCTCTTCGCCTTTCCCCCATCGCCTCCTCCTCCTCCTCCTTTTCCTTCCCTCCCTCCTCCTCCTTGTTCTCCTCGTCGTCCTCCTCCTCCTCCAATGCGCCGTCATGGTCCTGCTCCTCCTCTGGCTCCTGATCCTTCTTCTCTAGCTACCCCCTTCGACGACGCAGATGCTCCTTTAGTTGGCAGCTTTTTCATGGATGGCGCCTGCCTCCTCTGCTTGCCCTCCTCCGCTTCCGCTTCATCGTTCTCCATTCTCTCTCCATCTTCCTCCTCCTCCACACCATCCCTCTTCTCGTCATCACCCTCTTCATTTGTCAACTGCTGCCTTCTCGCCGCCGCCGTTGCTCTCGCTCTTGGCCGCACCAGGGGCGCCCTTGCCCATGGCCCTCGCCTTGGCCTTCCCCTTGGCCTTCGGCTGGGCATGCGGCTTGTCAAGCGGGTCGGTCTCCTAGGCACGGGCGGGCGGGATGTGGGCACGAGGACAATGAAGTTAGCTGACGTCTTACTCCCAATCCATCTTCCCGTCCGTCCTCTTTCCTCCTCCTCCTATTCCTCCTCCTCTTGTTGCTGCTGCTGCTCCTCCTCCTCCGCCTTCTACTTATCATCTTCCTCTTGTCGTCTTCCGCCCTCCTCCCTTCCTTCTCCCCCTCTTCCTCCCTCCTCGTCCTCATCCGCCTCACCCCCCTCCTCCTCTTCATCATCCTCTTCCTTAGCAATTTTGGCTTACAAGTGGGCAGCGTTTCACCATCGTTGGAATGCCATTTCCAATGAATTCCAATGAATTCCAATGACGTTCCAACGCTAGTCCAACGGGGAACACCGCTCGTCCAGCTCACTTGGTGCCAAGAGCATATTTTGAATGATGGCGCGTTGGGATCCTTGGCGGCGTGCGATCGGTATCGGCGGCGGTCCTTGTGGTTCCGTCTTCCCGAGTTTCAGAGACCGACGGGCCCCCTGTCTTTGTCTTGGTCATCCTTCCTCGAAAGCTTTTTTCGCCAGTGTCGGGGGGGGGGGCGGTCGGCACCACCGGGGGCCTCGGAGAACCAAGTCGCACGCGGCAACCGGGCGAAGGAACAAACGCAAAAACAAAACAGCGACCGAAAAACACCGGCTGCAGCGGGGGCACCAGCTGATTGTGTATGGGTTGATTCCAGAGCAGAGAGAAGGAAGCAGCAGAGGGAATGATTCAGGTAATATTCAGCAGCGCCTCTTCCCTGAAGACGAGGGCCAAGTTGCGATCCTTGTAGCCTTTCAGCTGGATGATCTGGGACAACTTGCCGCCCTCGGTCTTCCACAGCACCATCCACTCCTCCGTTTTCTTCGTCACGATTTGCACCTTGCACCTGCGGCCCTGCTCGTCGGTGTCATCGGCGACGACATTGCTGCCTCTTGCAGCTTTCTCCGACAGCTCGCTGTAGCTCTGGTTCGGCGGCCTCCACTTGAAGCCATCGGGCCAGGTGACCTCCAAGGCATCACTGTCGCCGGCCTTCTCGGCCATCGCGTACTCGATGCGCCCCTTATCGATGTCCGTCGTCCTCCAGGCAGCCTGGGGGGCGAGATGAGGGGGCGCGGCCCTCCTCCTGCTGATCCTCCTCCTCCTCCTCCTCCCTCCTCCTCCTCCCTCCTCCTCCTCCTCCTCCTCCTCCTCCTCCTCCTCCTCCTCCTCCTCCTCCAGCCGTCTTCTCCTCTACTTTCTGTTCCTCCCTCCTCCTCCTCCTCCTCCTCCTCCTCCTCCTCCTTCCCCTACTCATCACCATCCTCCTCTCCTTCCTTCTCCTCCCTCCTCCGTCTCTTCCTGCCCTGAGGCGTTCAACGCCGTTGCCTGCATGCGCTGGTCATAGCCGAGCTTCCAGCCGTCCAGCTCGGCGTCGGCGACCAACCTCGGCGACTTGCAGCCCAGCGACCTCCGATATGCAGGCACGTCCTTCCTGCGCTTTCCTGGCGTCTCGTTGCCATCGCCGTCGTCAGCAGGCCGCTTGCTCGGAGAAGCAGCGCCGTCCTCGACCGCCTGGGAGCCACCGCCATCCTCACTGTCGCACATGTCGTCATCCCTAGCAGGCGGATCATCCTCGAGCATCCTGTCCAACTCTTCCTTCAGGGAATCCACGGGCTCCACCACGGGCTCCTCAGCCTCCTGGACGGCGCCGTCAGCGAAGTGCCGTGCCCATTTCGGCGGTGATCTCCTCGGAGAGGAGGGGGGGGGGCGCACGACCTCTCCTCCTCCTCCTCCTCCTCCTCCTCCTCCTCCTCCTCCACCTCCACCTCCTACTCCTCCTCCCCCTCGCCCTCCTCCTGCTCTCCTTCCTCGTCCCCCTCCTCCTCCTTCTCATGCTCTCCCTGCTCTCCTCCTCTTTTTGCCTCCCTTCTCCCTGGCCCGTTGCGTTTGCAACCCCATGCGGTCCCTTTCTGCTGCAGAGCTTTGTGCAGCATCTGCAACATGGACCGCGCGACCTGGGCGGTGTCAGCTGCCCACCGGGGCGCCTGGTCCGCCAAGTGCCACTCTGCCTCCTTGTCGCGGGCGAGCTTCTGCAAAGCGGCCTGCGCGCTGCCCCTCCCAATCATTGTCCTCCGCTTTCTCATTCCTATTCTTCCCTCGCCTTCCCTCTCTGCCCCTCATCCTCATCCTCTCCCCCTCATCCTCATCCTCCTCCTCCTCCTCCTCCTCTTCCCTTTTCTCATTTTTTTCTCCTCCTCCTCTCCCCCTCATCCTCATTCTCCTCGTCATCTCCTCTGCTTCTCGCCTCTCCCACTTTCCTTCTCCCCCCTTCCTCCTCCTCCCTCCCCCCCCACCCTCATGTCAGAACTATTCAAATCACTTGGCCCCAAATTCAAAAATCAGTTTGGGGGCGCGCGCGAGTGGATTCTTCCCTCGCAAGCGCCTTGGCGGTCTTCTCCGTCGCGAGCGGGCCGCCGGCAGCGCGCGTCGCCTTGATGAAGTCCTTGTAGTGGGCGTCACACATCGCACGTCGTGTCGTCGAAGCCCGGGCCCCACTCGGGGTCTGCGATGTGCTCACGCCACACGGTGCACAGCAGATCAGCGTCTTGCCAACCCCTCGGTCTCTTCGAACCCTTGCGGGGGGCTGAGCGGACTCACTCCCTCCCTTCCTCGCAAGGCCTTTATCTCCTCCTCCTCCTCCGTCCTCCTCTCCTCCGTCTCCTCCTGGGGGGGGCGCAGGCTTCCTCCTCCTCCTCCTCCTCCTCCTCCTCCTCCTCCTCCTACTTCTCTCCTCCTCCTCCTCCTCTTCCTCCTCCTCCTCCTCGTCCTCCATCGTCCGCCAAGGGAGGGGAGGGAGGAGGATGGAGGAAGAGGAGAGGATGGAGGAGGAGGAGGAGGAGTGAAGTGAGGAGGAGGAGGACCGTGTAGGAGGAGGGGAGAGGGAGGAGGGGAGAGGAGGAGGTGGATGAGGAGGCGGAGGAGAGGAAGAAGGAGAAGGAGAGGGAGGAGAGGGAGGAGGAGCAGGAGGAGGAGGAGGAGGAGGAGGAGGAGGAAGGATCGTGGGATGAGGAACAGAGGGGGGCAACGGGGAGAAGGAGCAAAACGCTCTTTGACTACCCCCCCGTCCTTCGGCGGCATGGCGGCCGCCGCGAAGGCCCGCGAGGCTCGCGAGGCTCGCGAGCCGAGCGGCTCGAAAGGCCGAGCCGCAGGCCCGCAAAATGCGGTTTGGGCCCAAACCCAGCGAGCAGGGCACTGGAGGGACCCCCATCTCCCTCCCCCTCGTTCTCGTCCTTTTGTCCTCCCTCGTCTCTCTTCCTCTCTGCCCTCTCCACCTCCCCCTTCTCCTCCTCCTCCGCTCCCTCCTCCCCCTTCTCCTGCCCCTGCTCCTCCACCTCCTCTTCCTTTTTGCCAGCCGCCCCTCGCGTTGGCCCCCCCCAAACTGAACCTCTTCGGAAGGCTATCTTGGAATTCGTCTAGGGCTCGTCGGCTAGGAGGCCTCCCTGGTGATGTTTGTGTCGTTTCCCCTAGAGAAGCCAACGCTGCAACGGGAACACATTGAGGACCGAGACATGCAAAATACGGTTGCTGCTGCAGCTGGGCGCTACTTTTTGAATCGAGCACGCGGCCATGAGGTCAATACTCGAGCGGGAGCATTTGACGATAAAACCAACTAACACAACAAATGCATGTGCTCATGATATGCATGTATGTATGTATATAGATATATCTCTCTCTATATATATAAGAACCGGTATTATCGTATGCACAATAATGAGAACATACAACAAGTTCTCATTAAAAGAGAACCGAGGACCATAGGGTACGCCTGCGGTTGCCGTATGCCGGCCCAGTGCGCAGTATGCCTGCGGATGCTGCCTGTCAGCCCCGGTGCGCAGTATGCCTGCGGCGTGCGTTTGCCTGCCCTCTTGCGCTGGATGCCTGCGGGTTATGTCATGTGCAACCGCCAGCGCGCGATAAGGACGCCGAGGGGGATACGTGCACGGCGCTTTCCGACGCGCGCGCAGCATCCATGGCGCTGGCTCGTCCAGACATCGTTGAGTTGCTTGGCGATCTGCCTGCTGGCGCATTCGGCGCCGACAGAAATGCCATCAGGGCGCGCGCGCGCGTCTCCGTGCGTCTACCGCGGGCATGAGCCCACTCGCAGCGGCGCGCAAGGCCGATTGGGTCCTCTTCGTCGCAGCGGCCAACGCGGCGGAGGGGGACGCATCGCCAGCTCCCGAGCTGGAGCTGTGCACCACGGTCGCGCGCCTGATGGCCGAAGCGATCGGGGCGGTCCGCCCGATTGATTACTCGGATGCGGCCA